TCATGGTTGTACGGCAGTGAAGCATCGGTGTTGAACACTGATGTCATGCTGTCGATGGTGATGATGATGATGATGATGATGATGATGATGATGATGATGATGATGACGGTAGTGAATGTGTGGAAGGACATCTCTGTGGCTCTTAGTGATGCTTACAGTTGGGACAGACTGGATGTATTTCTATTCCGGGGGCCGGCTACACGCCATAAAAATCTTCCTTGGGATAAGCTCCATTTTCTGTGTTGACTAGTTTATTCAGTGACGGAAGATAATGGATTTTAATTCCACTTGATTCTTATTGGTCGACTGAGCGGTAAGCTAACTGACGCTGAAATTAGGTCCTTTTCGAAAGGACTTCAGCTTGATGCTATGATTAAATGGAAGGGGGCGGGCAGTTAAAAACGCGTTAGACGCTACATACCCTGTAACCGAACTATGAGCCTTCTAATAGCTGTAGTGGATAGGTGCTTCATAAATAGCGGAATCCTGCTCATCTGTTTCAAAACAGTGTGAGCAAAGTAGAGCGCGAATCGCGGGCATGGAACTTATAAGTGTCTGGCAGCGTAGAATCAGGAATTGCGCAACAAGTTCGCGCGTAATTTTGGTTCAAATCGATGGTATATGGCACCAAGGTACATATATAGCAAGGTATACAACACCAACGGTTAAGATGGTGTGGTACTCTAGTTCTAGCACAGCTGATCACAAAGACATAAATCAGGCTCATCTGTGCAGAAGCGTTTCTTACACTTTCTGTTTATAGGCAGATTCCTTTCAGGCATACATTTGACACACCATCCTTCTCGAAGCACCGATAGAACAGACGATCAGAGTTAAGGGGGCTACATAACTTTCGCATTCACACAACCAGCTGGAATATAGTGCAAAATATAATCAAGGTACAATGAGTTGACTTTCTTCGATCCGTTTTTTGTGTGAACAAGTTAGCTGTAGTTTTATTCACTCCTTTTAACTTGAGGATTATAGTTGTAACAGCAACGTCGAAAAAAACCCTCTGACAACATGAATGTCTGCAAAACACGCACGGAAACTCTTCTTTCAACCATTATTAAATTCAATAATGTCAAATTTAGACTAACCTAAACCTTACTAGTCAGGAAAAGGGGAATGTTCTAACCTGAAATTATATATTCTGGCTTATTTGACTGCTCCGATAATCGGCTGTATCTCTAGGGCGAAATGAGAGCAGCATCTGCTCAGTTGTAACAGCGCCGTCCCCGAATTCGATGTATGTTTGGTATGAAAATTATGGAACCGCTTTGCAGTGTTCATTATTGCTTAATATTCAAATATTATTTGAGAAAGTCCAAAAAAGGCTTGGAAATGTTCACTTTTGACAGATTTTCACTTTTGTGTCCGATAGGTTGTAACCGCATAGTTTGTGCGGACTGATAAGCAACTCTGAGTTGAAATGTGCTCTTTCTTTCAAAAGTAGCTGAGTTAAGTAGGCTAGATGGCTAGACCGATATGTCCAATCCGAACAGCAGATGAAGCGCGAATAAGCTGTAAGCGAATGGAAGGTATGTGAATCAGCAAGTGACAGTACATTGTCGACTGCTAATAAGAAATGTTCGGTTGAAACTTTCGGATGATTGATAAGTGAACGGTGAGCCGTTTTACTATTCCATTAGTCGAAGTGTCACTTTGTTGGTCTCAGATCCTAGTAAACTTTCTATCCAAGGTGGGCTGATAATGAAATAGCGCAGAATTGATTCCCCCCCCCCAGTACGCAGTACAAGTGGAGTACTTGAAGAACTACTGTACAACCAAATCCGGACGTGGTAAGTCAGCTTAAGATGCGCTTCCTTGATTTCAAGAAGGTTATCTCTCAGTGAGTCCATGGATTCTTAGTTTAGTTTCATTAAGTCCAAATGAAAATTCATCGATTTCCACGGAGCCGATCCACAGTAACGTCTGTAGCAATCAAATTATACGAAGCCCACAACCCAGATCAGATGTAGGCCCATGCACCCAAGATCAGGTTTGTACGTTTGGCTGAGTTTTGGTAGTTTCTGTTTCAGTCATCGCCTTGTCACTTCAGTGTCCTGTGTTGCTACATTGCCTTCACGGCTTGACCCAATAATGAGTTGTTTTAATTTCAAGAGCTATCATTCGGTTAACGCAGTAATTAAGATTAAATTACGGTGGGTCCCGGGCTACCGGTTGAAAGTACTATAAGCTGGTTGAGAAGATCCCCTACACATGATAATATACAGTGGGTTTTGTAGGATTATCAGTCGATGGAATTCAACTGAGCAATAATCCTTGAGCATTCCCCGACACTGCAACGGTGATGACTGAGTAACGCGTTGTTAAAAGATCTGTTGTGCCTTGATAGAAGCAAACTGCAACCATCACTACCTCAACTGGAATTATTTCGAATCAATTCCTCCTCCTGGTCGTTCAAAACTTGGCACGCACCACGCACGAAAATTGTCAGGAAATATTGTGGCAAAAATGACGCTCAAAACGGGGTTGATACGTTTGATAAATATCGAGCACGTGATGTCGCACAGGATCTTGTCTATCGTGGAAATGAGCAAATATACTTTTCGAAGAGGGGCTAAACCAACAAAAATTTGAGGCAACTGAGAGATATTGAAATTTTCTGCCGAATAACATTCGGATGATTCTTCACAGCAAGTTTAGTGTGCAGGAGTTACTCGCTCTGAAACATTTGCTCGTTTAATAATGTCAATAAAAACAGTATTTTTGTCTATAGATTATCCATTATTTTTCAAGCATTGCGATACTCCTATGAGAACTCCGAATACAAAAAACTTAATGTCAAAACAAACTTCTTCTGTTTTGTACCGGTTTCTCTACAAACCGCTCCCAGCTTTAGTCTCATGTTCCTCTATATCGTATGAGTCATTTTGTTCTCCATATTAATTAGGTATACAGTAATGCAAATTGGGTCGTTAAAATCTATAACCGAATACACAAACTGAAGCGGTGTTCTTCCTAGAAGGTGAATACTATTGATAATAAAATCGATGCAGCGTGTGCAGATCTTATTCTTAATGGATACGTTTTCAACGGAGAGACACGCCAGTGTGGCGAAGTGCATTTGTGACCTTTATAAATGACAAAGTCCTACGATGGATATGTCAAAAAACAATTTTGTGCTCTGGATGCTCGGTAGATTGCTCTCAGGACTAGACGAAACCGTCTTTAAATCTAATGGTTATTCCGAGTGCATCATATAGATAGGAATTTGAAAATGAACAGTAGCATATTTGTGGCAGTGTGGTGCAGCGGCTCATCATAAGAGGTTAGTATCACCATTATCCGATCGCTGCACAATTTAGTACGAGCATTTAATCCTGTAAATACACGGATATCTTTTGGAGATAAGCTGAGTCTTTTAGGCGTGACTGGACTTTTGAAGTTTCAGACTAGGTTTTTCAGGTCCTTGACTCCTCGACAGAAAGCGAATAACGGGACGACTCCTAATTACGATCTGTATCGTATGGGTGAGTCTTGTTCTGGCGAGTTTCACCGTATGCGTGAGTTACTACCCGGTTACTATAAATTTTACACCGATCTGGCTGGCTACACAAGTGAAGAGTTCAGTTTGCTAATATATCTACAGACTACTGGCTCCACCCCCAGAACCTCGGAGATATCAAGCTCTAATACCTCAAACTGTGCTTAATTCCCTGATTTTTACCTAATCATTCGCAGAATCAAGGCAACCAAGTAGGTGGAATAGGATGACACAGTTTATTCATGAAAAGCACGCACACAGCTGTGTTCATTATCAAATGAAATAGTCAAGCATTTACGAAATCCGGGCACAACCAAAACCCAGAAAATGGGAGCGGCACACGTCGACTTTCGTGGGCCGAACAATCAGCATGATTCTTCAAAGTTGTTAGTGCTCATAAAATTATGCTTACAAGCCATCTAGGGAAATGAAAATAAAATATCTAGAGCTGTGACAAACGTCGCCAGCAGGGTTTCATTTTGTTTGTGTGTAAACAATCCGGGAAGGGTTTGTGGGAAGCTCACTTCAATGTATGGGCTCGTCGCACTGCCTTCAAACTGTCCAAACGCATTTGAAGACTGCGAATGTCGCTATTTACTTGCACCAAACGGTAGAACTGTATCAAAAAGGAAAGGCGTGCTCTAAGTTGAGATCGATTCGGGGTAACATATTTAGCATAACTGGTTTCAGAACCAGTAAAAATGTAGAAAGTGATCAAATGAGGCACCTCACCTCTTTTCGATATCTATTTCCACAATGTTGGTGAACTCAGTTTAAGTAATTGAAAGTACGGCGCATGGTAGCACCGGGCTCCTTTGTGCAGTAGGTGGTCTTTTGCGCACTAAGCTCATTAGTAACGAAACCAGGCCATCTAACTTGCTGTCGATGTTCTCAACCTGGTTTCGGTGTCGCCGTAGGCATTCTTGCGTCCCTAAGCTGGATGGACTGGTACAGATTCTGCGCGGCATTGCATTCAAGTTCCCCGACTAGGTACATATGGATCGAAGGTAGAATTCTGCACGAAGAAATAGACTTTATCCTGGCGGTAAACTTCAGTGTGTATGCAATCTTCTCAAATCAAGCAACATGGAGTTTTCGATTACTGATGATGCAGAACACCGCCATAGGTCAATTATCTCACAAATAATATGCAGAAATTGATCATGTGTAACCCCCTTTCAGTGCCCAGCTGCTATGCCACCCCTCAATTAGGCTACTGTGTCCTTTACTGCCCTAACAACTGTATTTGTGGTGCATTCTGTCGTGGAATAACTAAACATACTGTGCGAGGCCAAAAAAGCCACACGTGATGGTGAAATTGAAGGTTATATTCAGTGATTGTCTGAGGAATGGTGTAAGCCATTTAGGGACCCTGCTGTACCAGTCCAGTGGGAATCGAGTACTCAAAATAAATTCCCACGAAATCAAACGTCTACAGTTTTTCGGATCCAAGGTTAACACTAGCCAAAACTCGTTTTCCGAAATAGTTCAGATGAACAGATATGACCACATAAAATTTTTGTTTATCGACCCATATCCCACACGGAATGTTTTCTATGGACATTCTTTTGCCGATTTAAGTGAGAGGCGCATTTAGGTGGAGTGTTTTAAGGTCGTTCAAGTGTATTCTAATGCATACAGTGGTCTGGTGGGAGAAGCACGTTGTGAAGAAAAACATATCGAATGCAAACTGTTTATGAAATACTATGAGACAGAACCTATGCTTTGACACTTTTTGGAGCACCAGTATAAACCTTGCATAGAAGAGGGGTGCTATTTTGAACATATACTTCAACATGGCGTGCATAACTAGGTTGAAAAATGCTAAAGGGCCGAAGTTCAATGCTCATGTTCAGTGGTTTTTATTGCTATGCGACTTAAAAACAGCTTAGCACAACAAGCAATTGGCCGCCAACGATTCAGAAACTCTGAACAGCAGAATGTGAGGATGAACAGTGATATTTAATGACAGTTTCATTCACTTGAACAACATGCAGACCAGTGTGCGCTGAATACTATTAGGATACTTAAAATTATGCAAAATGTACCAGTAGCCTAGTCCCCATTGCCATATCGCAGACGGCCTAACAACACCACAATGTTGAAACTACTCATGAGTAGGCGGGGGATTTGATGTTCCGAAAGCTGCACATAGATTCAGAGAGTACAATGAAGGCCACGCCGACAACCCTAGGGGCTTCTATCATAATAATTTGCAAAGGTCCACTACGTGGCTGCAGAGTGCTGGCCGTTCATTTGACCTCATTAGCCAAATTAAATGGAAAGTTACAAATCAAAAGGTCATGAATGCTAGCTGGCTGTTTTTTCTGGGGGAACTCTGAGCCACAAGTAGCACCCAAAGTTATTAGGATCTCTGTAACCTCCACCATTCACTTTAATTGTAATTTGAAAAAGCTTTATAACTGACACTTTTATAGTGCGCTTATGCACAATAAACTAAAGTGAACTGCCGTTGAATTCTCATGTCCTGCTCAATTAACAAGAGGTGAGAAGGAACCCATTAAAAACCGTTCAGATGTACTTCGATTATCCTAGGTTCTTAGGCCACGTTAAAGATGAATTCGCATCAGGATTCATTTTGTTTTCCATCCGGATGAGTGACGTGATTCAGAAGTGGGACTTTTAAGGTAGTGGATAGAAACTGTCGGGAACAACCTTTGGAAACTGGTAATGTTTTAGGCCTATGTTAGACACGTAGACTACCGAGTTATTAGGGTGGTGTTCCTCATCTTGTCAGAATATCGATGGTTGTGTAACCAGGAAACTGGCATGTTATTCCTCTGACTGATACAAGAAAATAATTTGCTTATGTTTAGACGGGATTGTTTGAGGACAGATAGTGAAAAATATAACTTTATTTACTTGGTGTTCGATTGTGCGTTCAGATTGTCCGACTCTTAAAGATCAATATCGTCAGAGCTATATCCTGTGCACATTAAGGCAACATGTCAATTGTGCTTTATGAAAATTCCGAGGCAGCGTTCAAGATTTATGGCCGCGATTCACTGACTTCTAAATTAAGATGAACATTTTCAAAGAAGACTTAGGTGGCTCACATTAAGCCGGCCGCATACAATGGGTTTTCGAAAATTTTCTGTCCTTCCATCATTCCCGTTTGGTAAGTGGTAAAAAATATGCTATCGATATCTTCAATTTTATACTAGGCAAACCGGTTTTCTCTCAAGCTTGTAGCTACTAAGCAGGATGAAGCAAGGTTGGAAAGAAGCGTCTGAAGCTGAATAAATATGTGAGGACATTGTGCATTAGCATTTGGTTCGTAAGGCATAAATGGTACATTAAAAACTACAATCTCATTCGAAATGTTCGCTCACATCTGGGAGGGCATGTAAACATTGAAAAAAGAGCTGGAAGCTAATTGCTTTGCTGGTTTCCACAAATGCCCTGCCAAATATTCGTGATTAGGAGCTCTTAAAATTTTGCACACCTCCACCCACCAAATCATCTGATCTTCTGTAACTCTTAATGTGGCGACTGGAATTGTGGTAGTAGCATAATTTCTCCAGATTTCTTTTTTCGCGTTGCAGGCGGGACAGTTCATCTTCTAGCTGCATTATTTCAGCTCTTGTGGGCCGCATCGTGTCATACTTGAAGGGGTCAGGAGTTTCAGGATAAACAGTTTGATATCGTGATATTGTGGGTCTCTCAAATCTGGCGTAGTCTCGTTCCCAACCTCGCGGCGGTGGCAGGTGACCCAGACTTGTTGTTGAGCGCTTTGGAAGCGGGTTTCTATAGATTTCGTAGTCAGCGGTTAGCGGGACTGCTGGTGTGAAACCGTAAGCCGATGAAGGTCGAGGGCGCCTCACATAACGCACTGGGCTCCGCGGCATATACATATCCGTTACTGCGTAGAAGAAAGCGCAGTTGTTATCATAAAATCTGACTTCCACGGTGAGGCAAAACTTTAACTGAGTTTGCGGAAACGAATCCCTTAGTACGGATTATGCACACATCAGCTACAAAGTGCAGAATATTAGAAAGTGGTCTCGGTGTTTGTCTGAGTTAGGTGAATGCTAGTTAAACAACAAAACCCCGTTAACTCGATCGGGACTGGCTACAGAGTCGACTCCAACTGAACTGATGGTTGAGAATTAACTGAAATCTGAAGCGATCCAGAGAGGAATGCGAAAAATGGACGTGCGATCTTGAGTAGCGATACCTGGATATTTGTTCAATAGGAGTCTGGCCAGCAGCAATCAGTCCAGTATCGATTTCCCCAGTGGTCTTTCGTCTTCTGTCGCGGAGGCGGATTAGGGTGCAGTGTACACTAATACATCCTCATTCAGTTTCACCGAGAAACGTGCTATGAGAGAGTTTTGAATCTACCTAGCCTCTGCAAGGTAGTTGTTATCCTAGAAAAACAGCAAGGAATAGAACGAATATGTTTTTGTTTGCGGTGGAATGGATCGACCCCGTCGTAACTATAGGAACATGGAGGCAATAAAGTCTACTCAAAACTTACATTTTAGTTAAAAAGATCTGGCGATGGAAAGGCGAACAGAATCAGGGGGTAAAAAATCACCGGAGAGATGACAAAAACAGCTTCTGGTACGGTAAAAGTATGTTCCTAAATTCTTCCGAGGTCGAAAAATCCAAAATGACTTTTCACACAAACGACTTCGGCCAATCCAAAGCTCGCTGTCTCTGATGTCTTCAAGCGATGGTGGGCTTTTTCTGATATGAAATGAATCAAACGTCTGTCAACCACATATTTGTGTTGAGTAACCCTGATGAATGCAGAGGTACCCTCTTTGGGCACAAACTCACTTACAAAGTTTGATGTTTACGGGCTCGCTGCGTTTTGTTGAATCAAGCACGTCACATCAGATGAACCTACCACACAGGGGCATTGTGACCACATTCTGATCTAGTTGACTAGTGCCGTTCTGACATGATGACGTCTGTATTTTCTAAGCTGGAATATAGGACCATTAGTCTGAGATTGTGCGTATCGCTACGGTCGCCAACAAACCAATGGTTGGATGGCACATTGACTTGCCCAGTGGTTGCTGCAGATGCCTGAGACACTTGTTTGTCCGCTGGTGTCAGGGGCAAGCGATTTGGTACTTTTACGTGTCCTTGACCAAATCACTCGAGCGTCGGCGCAACGACCGAGCCTGAATTCAGATGCCTTGTTAACCAGCCGGATGTTCAGCCCACGCATTCTCAGTGGGGTCACGCGGCATGCGAATGTGCACTTCCGGTCCCATGGGACAACGTAACGCACTAGGCACGCCGTAGCAACCAAACCACTGGACTGGCTTGGACGAAATACCATGGACGAAACTGAACACTCCAAATGTGGATCAATTAGCTATTTCACACGTATGCGTATTCATCTAACGCTAAATTTTAAAAGGAGCAAAGCAACGCATAATCTACGACAGTACAGGATGGTTAATTAGGTGAAAACTGGAAACTAGTGTGTAGCATATTGAGCCCATTTGTTTCTCAAATGGCCTGAAAAGCTTCAGAATTTTCTGAACAATCATTTTTGACTACCAATACAGTCCAGTAGCATCACTCTCACATAGACTGCCTTTCGGCCGATCACTACCTCGTTACTTTCACCAATCGGTTAACTTACCTCTTTTATTGAATCTCTTTCCCAACGAGGTTGTCCGATAATTTCGATAGCGTGATTCCTCCCAGTGACTACCAAGATTCACTAGGGGACTGGTTGTAAAGTGAAAAATCTCCTCTTCAGCAGAATCCGTACCACTCCTCCTGTCTAACCGTGTATTCCTCTGATAGAGCGAGGGTGACTGTTGCACTGGGTGATGATAGCTCACTCTTTCTCCTGCTTTTTGAGACTTTGTGGTCGCATCAGCACTATCAACAGGCAAAGTGACTTTGATTGTGTGATCATCAGGAGACAGTTGCGTATCTACGGGTAGGGTTACCTCAGCCGTCTTTGTTTCAGTTTGCGTCTCGTCCACAGCAGCACTCTCGTAATTGTTCAACTCTTGCTTCTCCGTTGTTTCCACCTGATTGGTGATTTCCCCATCCAACTCTGGTTGTCCTGTTTTGATCTGGATCGTATGATGGTGTTGCTCAGTCATTTCGGCGCCCGATACAAAGGTGTCGTCTTCAGCTCTTGGGCGATCGGCTGACTGGGTTTTAGTTCTTTGGTTAGCGGAGGAATAGATTTGGCTGCAAAAGATATTGAACACGAAGAAAAACTCAGCTGATTCCGATGAGTGAGAGCTGTAACAATACATTTTACGCATGGCCTGTTTTAATGTAGGTGTACTTCATAGCCTTGGTTAACTCAGTATGAAAACTAATTAACGGGGATTTTGCTACTGCTCAGGAGCACCGGTTAGTGGAATTTACTAGGCGATATGCAAGCGAGTCACCATCGTCAAAGGGGACTTCACCTAGGCTGGCCGAAAAACCGATCTATCCCGACACATCTTCCTATCACTTAGGAGGCAGTATCCGAATATGCTCGATACTTAACCCAGTCTTTTCATAATTTTAAAGGCAAACACCTTAAATCACATTCAGTTATGTCCTAATTTGACATGTTTCTGAAACTGCTCGAATAATGCCACAACATTGGAATATCGTGGCCCTCAACGTTGTACTGTAATGTATGACATTACTAATTACATTTCACTTTACGTCCAGACTCTCCCAATGCATCCGGATCAAGTTCAGTTCAGATCCCCTGAAATTAGCGACACCTTTAGCCAAAAAGGGTTTCGTAGTTTATCGCATAAATTAAGGGTGAAAAGATCACTAAGCTGTGGATGGACGACATTGTGAGACCAATTGGGTGGTGTGCGTGGATAAATTGTTGTCAGTGTGGCAGGAACTCAGAAAGCATAATTTGGGGGCTTGAGGAAGACATAGGGAAGGAAAAAAAGGGAATCTGGGAAACACTGAGTAGTCGAAACAATGAGTAGGTTGATTGTAGACAGAAAGTGTATGGGGATAATAGTACACTGGTGAAAAGGATGAAACCGAGAATGACATGCGATTTTTTTGAGCGCTCTGAATACTAGAGGTAAAACAAATGATGCATAGCGGCACGAGTTGGAGACAACGATGGGTCTAAGCAATTTAATGTAATTTAATACAAGTCTCTCCAGAAAAATATGCCCGGTTTCTAGGTTTTTCTAACAACGGCAATTTGTGGCATAAGGCACACGTCAGAAATAGTTGAATAAAGAATATAAGCTGTGAAGTTGCGAAATGCATATGAAGGCTCAGTGACGAAAATGGCATCATATCGAACTGACTGGGTTGGATCGTGTAGTTTTTGGTTTTTTTCCTAAACTGAACCCGTCACTCATAAATCGATGCTAAGTTACAAACTAAATCAAGATGAAAGCGTCTCTAGCCCTTTGTATGAAGCCGAATTATAAGTGGCTGTTACCAGCTTGTCCCTTTGACGCTAATGATATTATCGACCCTGCGGACTTTGGTCTTTGCCGGTGTTTCATATGAAGGCATGACACTGTGTACGTGCGCTCTTAACTTAGGAGACCCCAGGTTCTTCAGGCAGAGAGCTCGTGAGACCATTATGGCAATTCATGTTCACCCAATTTTGACAATTTGGCACCAGTATTAAAGTGTATTAAAAGTATTAAAAGTATTAAAAATATAGCATTTTAAATGAAGACCAACCAGAAAAACCAAGCCTGTCTTTATCGAATGAATAATAGCACTGAGTTGATCGTAATTACTTCAGTTCTGACGCGATAAGCTGCTTGTTCGCTTCACATAAGTTGGAGGTGCAATAGAGAAACTTGGGATTCAACGTTGTAGCTAATATGAATAAGGATAATCACTGACTTTCTTCATCCACAGTAATTCATATACGATTGGCGATGGTTAGATGTGGGCAAAGTGAACTAAAACGCCCAAGCTAGTAAACTGATAAGGTCTTCCTCTTATTGATCAATGTTAGATATGATGACCCTCACGGAATTTGTAGTACATATTCTAGCCAGAGAAAATGCTACCGACATAAATGAGTTGAAAGCCCTCGCCATACGTCAGCGAAACTTCGAGGCTAACTGACACAAGCTACTAAAAACCGCTAAAGAGGAGTTCCATATCAAGACAATGTGAAAGGCGGATATTTTGTGGTATTCAGTGATATATTTAGCCTGGGGGATCTGTAGGCATTAGGCGAGTGCTTTGGATATTGTCATTTTGAATGCTTGAATTTACTGCCAATAGGTTAGAGACAAAAAAGTTCGTCAAAAATATCCCTCTAATGATTTTATGGACAAAAGTTGCAAGCCTCCATTGATTCTCTTATCAAGTGCATTTTCCTATCAAAAACCGTCAAACCAAAATCCTGGATTGTTTTATCACAAGTCATCACAAAAAGTACGCACACCCATCAGCCTAGTGGACTGTTCTGCTATCAAGTTGCTAGAAATGTATGTGTTAGGTCATTTTTGTGATATACTTATTACGAAATGGATACAAATTGTCTAAAATAAGTTATTGCTCGGTGTATTATCACTGTTCTGCTCCATGAACTAGTGAACCAGGCATGACAACGACACAGTAATGAGTAACTTTTCCCTGAACAAAAGATTGTACATTTGTGCAATGTGGTCAACAGAACTGGTTTGGATTCATCACAGTTTATCCGTGTGAGATTTGTGTAACTGAGTTTTCCATATTTCAGGAGAAAAAATACAGAGGCTTACATACATATGGACATCGACGAAGTTGTCGGTGATTTCACCTAAACACAAACTAGTTTCACTGAATGTCATAAATTTTTATGCCGATTTCATTTCATTTGCAATGGAAATAAGCAAATTTGTCACCAGGTTAAACATCATGTGCTTTCCAGTATTAGTTGTTTTGCCTTCAGATCTTTGTAATCAGAGATCATGGTCGCTTTGGACTAAAACTTGAAAAAGTCATCCAAACCACGTTTTTGTTTCAGTGATTCACGTTGAGTAGCAGCGAAATTTTAGAAGTTTGCGGTAGGAAACTAGACAGACATTGACGAACATAAATGCTAATTGCAAAGATGGAGATCAATGAATATAATTTTACCATGGAAGTAAGATTGCAAAGGAAATATCTTCAATCTGACACGGAAAATGAACTTCTGCAGAAATGAAATGGTCCAATGAACTCGTTTTCTGATATGCTGACAATCCGTAAACGCTGTGTACAATGATGAAAACCACATTCTGTTATAGCAAATAGGCAGTTCTTTTAGAGTGTTTGGATCTCTGTGAGGAGTAAACCAATGTCATAGGATGCGGAAATGTCGGGTGACTGGTATGGGAGCCAACGGAATAAACGGAAAATAATGAATAGCATATGATAATCAAATATTCACACACTTGGTGAGTTTATATCAGAGTGGTCGAATCATAAACAGATACTATCGCGTAGCCACGTCCGCGTAGAATTACTTTAGTTTAGCAGGATCCCAATATGGAGAATATGCAAGCAGAGTGCAGAGAACTTAGAATCTGGTGCTTTATACAAAGTAATATAAAATTCAACATAAACGATAATAGAACTGTGCAGATTTCTATCGTGCTTCGGGGCTGGTTACTTCGAAATGGATCTGTTTTTTACTATAAGGAGGTGGAATATAATTCCCACATTGAGTCGTAAACCACGGACATTCAAGCGTCCCTTACTTACGTGCAAGAATAATAAGTGCGTCTGCGAAAATTTAAAGGGGAGAGTGAAAGCTTCACTTTAGTTTATCGTTTAGCGTAACATTTCGGAATTCAGTGCATGGCTGATTGTTCGCAGTCAATGATGAAATTTTCGAAGTAGTTTAATCAACACAAGCTTGTGTTTTCTTCAAGTGTTATTACTCGTGTTGGCGTTTTGTGCAGTTGATATTCGTCGGCTTATTTGTTCTAGAGGCACACTGAGGGTAGTAGCAATCGGGTGAATAAAACTGATGAAGATGATATAAAAACTCCGGGACAAGACAGATGAGAATTTAAACTGCAGTAAAAATGGCCTTTGCTGCTGTTTTACGTGTTTGCTTAGGGATACGTTTCCCTTAGATCGTCTTCGAGTTATATGATGAGAATACCAGAAAGTCACCTCCGATCCCTTGTTGTGTTCGTAGAACGTCGTATTTTTCAGCGTGAAACGTAGCTGACTTTAAATAAATTACTGGGTAATATTTACATTCCAAATGGTCCGTTTCAAGTTATCCAAAACATTCCCTCCTACTGAGCGTGACTTCGCCTCAGAATGAGTTGTTTACTTCAACTTCCGATTAGCACCTAATAAAAAAATCAAGTTATTCTAAAACCATGTCTGTTTAAGATACGTCTCACGAAGTCCACTCTAGGGAATCATCATATGCGGACAACTGTTGAATAAAACCGCAAACGCAAAATTGTTCGCTCTCTAAATCAAATATGAGAGTGCAATAGTGTTTGAACGCACGTTTAAACATGCTCCATTTTACTGCCAGTCTGTCGCTAGACAAACTGAGGGATCCCCATACGTTGATGTTAGTTCAACAAATCGATCACTACAGCTGGTCGACCGACGATGGAGCTTCATCTGGACTGTCATTTCTGCTGCCATAGTCAATCATGAGTGAATTTCATGATGAAATTTCCCAGACATGGTGGGCAGCGGTGCGGTGACTATTTTTGGTTGTGTGAATACAGATGTTCCTCGTTGGGAAAATTGAGATAAATGCGGAGATCAATCAGTAGAGATACCGTGTTGAAACAGTCTCTGCAGGACTGAATGGGTTTCTGTGCAAGGCACCTAGCAGTCTTTGGAAGCCAGAACCACTTAGTTGAACAACGAAGCTTGTTGGTGTATCTGTCCATCTTGAATCTTGCATGTTTGAAACTGAACTAGAAAACTGTTATCCTCAGCTTGTTGGCACATATCCTATGATATCTTATGTGATATTTTGACCTACGGAGTGCCTGTCAGTTATTACTACACTTATTGTGACAAACATACGCAAATGTATCTGCAGTGCACCCGCGAAACAGAAAAAAAACTTTTTGATCAAGATATCTGATAGTTGTACTCTGACGCATTTGAGCGCATTCTGGATTACCAGACAAGCCACCTTTTTACGAATTGCACTCCGTGGATGTTTCATTTTTGTTCAGATGAGCTTGGGAAAAGATATTATCGAAAGTGACTAAAGTTCGCCCAATCCTCTCGAAGGGTTTATATACACACATGCTTATCACCTACAACGACAGTTTTTAACTCCGATGCCCCACTCTTAGTGCATTTGAATTCAAAAAATAAGGTGAGTTCTATCTTTAGGATAACACAGAAATCGTAGCCATTATTATAGTTTAGATAGAAAGACGAACGTATCTTGATAACATAGTCAAAGGAAGCGATGTTTGTTCGTCTTCGATTGCATCCGATCCGCGGTTTTGCCTTTCCTACAGTCGACTATCACTTGAAGGAAACGTCAGGCCAGTAAGGGAATGACACGTATACCGCAGTAGCTTTTGGTTGCTCTAATAGAAACCGGATGATTCTGAAATAGACCGACCGATCTAGGATTTATTTTCTCCCAGAGGAACCAAGCTTGTCTCAACCTTGGACTATCTTAATTTCACTTCATCATTTTCAGCTTTCCGTCACGAAAGCTTCCTTCGGGATATCTAGGCATTTGAACAGCTGCCAGCTTACAGTCAAAACAAACGACATACCATTTAATCCTGAGGTGGCAGGGCACGTTCTTGCAAACTACTCACTAGCATTTCTTCTTAAGCATTGGAATGGACGACCATGCTCATTCACTTTGGTTACAACAAAATGCCGTTTTCAAGACAACATGTCACAGTTCAGACAGCGGAGTATTTTTGAGTGTTGTTTTTTGTAATTACCGTTATACGAAATAAAAGAACATGGAAAATGTGATGTGTTTAACCACATCAATGTGCTCACTGTGCTGGAGGACGTTTTGATCGAGCTTTCGCCTCTAATTGTCGTTCCAAAAGAATTTTATCATATTCCGATTCATCCAATCTTCTGTACAAGTCTGCACGTTCGGAAAACAGCCCTCCAAGTTGATGTTCCTTCCGTTGATAGCTCTGACGTAGGATCTCGTAGTCACGCGCCAACCTACTTTGTTCTTCTTGAAGTTCCGATAAATGGCGCTGTGTCTTTTTCTCCCGTGCATGCGACTCGTGAAGCTATAGAGGTTGAAAAAAGCATACAAAGGGTTGTTGGTTATACTGTAATCAAGTTCTTTGCTAAGCTACCAATCCGCACGTAGTACACTCCACATCACGATGTGCTTCAAATAAAACATGCGGGGCTGCTCTCAGTCACTGCGATTTTGGTAACTTATAGTTAATTAGGATTTGCCTGAACAGACTTCAGTCAAGCTGATTGCAGTCATCGCACATCACTCAGAAAGGTTATGTAAAGCGTAGTGTTTTCACCACTCATTTCTTCGCACTAGATAACCGAGTGCCAGTGATCACCCCACAGTACTGACTAAACGCTTAACTAGCTGTATCGCCTAAAACAAAGGCCATGTGACCCGAATACTACAGATAACTTCTTAGCTTCTAATCTGAGTTTCTTACATGTTTTGTTGTATCCGATAGTCTTTTCCTGAAACGCTTTTATCGTCGTTCTTCAGGGGAATGCAACGGGCATCATGAGTAACACAAGGGGTAGAAAAACTGCAATGGAGCACACTGTTACGGATATGGGAAATGAAAACAATTTGGTGACAGGAGGTTGCCTCTTGTAGGGTGGTCACTACTGCGACATCGTTATGGAATCATAACGTGAACAAGTTAACATATTGTGTCATGTACTCTAAGAAGTGAGTCAAACTGAATGATAACTAATTATTTTGTACACGACTTCCAGAAATTCCTTGCCAGAGGTGGTTGCATCTGTTATGTTCACTAAATAGAATTTAGTGACACGACCCATAGGACTTGATTTGTAGTCAATATTTTACTCGCTCCCAGAAACCGACAAACTTTGGTGTAGTCGGTGCCCCTCTTTCACATGACCAATTTCTAAAGGAATATTTTCCGACTCATGGAATCATTTTTGTACAGGTGACACAGGCAGTGATTTGGTTAGCTTTCGTTCGCCTTCTATTTTTATTTTTACCAGAATGCACGATAACTGCTGTTAGTTTCCTGATAGAGCGATTCTCATAGGGTTGCTGGAGACCCTTCGGAAGCTCACAACCGGGTTCACCCTTCTTCTAACGCATTCCTCGAGTTTCCGTCAAACTGACGATCAACCTAAGCTGTCATCGATTGTCAAGGCTCTAAAGAAGACGCTGTGATAGGATATACTGAGCAAGTGTTGCTACCAAGTATAACTGTGCTTACCAGAAAACACGATAGTAACCGAATAAGTGTTATTGAATAGTGCTAATTTGGTGGAACTCACATATTAGCAACAAAACAGTGTAACCAGTCATAGAAGATAAAATAAGATTTCCGAGGACTGCAGATGGTAGACAATATGCACCGAGATATGAAGTAAACTGAGATCCACAAATTTTTATGGCATACTTTTTCCAAAAGGGCTTCTCTATCTTGCAAGTCTCGAACCATCTTCTTATTTGAAGACTTGTACTCCCTGATTTTATCCTGCAGTGTCCGATTCGAATTCTCCAACTGCAGCGACCGGTTTATAAGGAACTCATATTGCTTTCTGAGATTTTGTAGTTCCTCCGAGACCAGCTCCGATACGCTGAAAGCATGAGAAAATTCATTTTTAAAGCGTCTTACGTGAGAGTAAATTTTTAACTCAGTAATGTGCAGAGGCTAAATAACAGTATATGCGTAGATGTTGAGCCTCCGCTTAGCTTTAAAGCCTAAATAAACGTAGAACATTCAGAATAGTTTAAAAAAGGCTTCTCAAGCCGCGCATTTGTGCCATTCAGTCACGTAAGTGCAGAACAATTACCAAAACTTTCCAATATGGGTCTTCGGCCCAACCTCCAGTATAGGTTACTTGACGGCGTGATTGGTCAGTGATCGTTTATTTAGCCAACACTCATGACCCTGCTACCATCCGAGAGGTTTCTCAAGCGTAAAACAAACTGTTCGAAAACTGGACTGACGATACACAGGATCCTTCGCCAACCTGATCGATGCCAACCGCCAAACTAATCGGGTGGAAATGTTGAGGACATGTCGTGTGCTACGAAGTCGTCTCATGGTCGTTCAGCTAAATGTCTTGGAAGCGGCAAAGGATACTGCTATTCGGCTACCTGACCTCCTATAGCGTCACGGAGAATTGCATGCGTGATCTCAGATTGTCTCGGTTCACCGATCGATATCCCGTTGCACAGTTATCGTATTTCAGACCAAGAATACTGTTGCTGCATTCTCGTAACCTTATTCCGTTTGTGGGTGGTTGTGGGATTAACAAAATCAACAGCCACACAACACTCGTTTACAACAGTCCTCCTTTTATCCTGAAGCGATTACTCTGGTGAGTCTCAGTTAAACAGGGGAGGGACTGAAACCAAGTTTTGTCGTATTTAGAGCTAACCAAAAACACAAATCGTGGTCTGTGCTTGAGGTTGAAGAGATTTGTGCGAGTCAAACTTCATACTATCACTCCGCCGGCACACTTTGGAACCATCCGAGTTATACCACCTGAAGCAGTGAAAATGTTCACCTACGAGGGATGTGATTAGTTTGTCCATTAACCTCATTCCGATTTTTGTATCTGTATTAACCCAAGAAGGCGCTATCGAAATCTTGCATTCGAAAAGTTCTTTTAACAGGTCTGTCTACCTGTGAATTACCGACATCGGTGGAAAGATGAACAGTCCCCAGATTGGCAGCCATCTGTTCAACAAAACATGCAATAGATAAAGTAAAGCAAGGGTTAGATCGAACTTCTATAGCTTTGGAGTAATTTTTCTTGTGGCAATTATCAAGTCATTGGACGAATTTTGTCGTCTGAATAAAATATGTGGCTGTATCCAGCAAAGTAAAATGTACGTGATCATTTCGCTCACGTCGCCTTATGGAGCAACACACCAGTTGCGCAGTAAACTACGGACGCTTCTACTTTCACGGCATAGTTTTAATTGACAATGTTTGAACAGTTATGGTTGAATGCTACTTTCACTGCATAGGTGTACTATTTTTTTTCAAAATATCTCGATATTTGCTTTAGGATTTGGCTGCTGGAAACTACGAAACCACCTGTTCGTTATAAAGCGTGGTACAAGAACTAATTTCTCCCCAAGCAATGTGAGTTAGGATACCATGAACCATTTTCAATGAATTTTTTTATTTTATTATGATAATGCGCATTATTAGGGTGTAATGTGTAAAACTTACGACCAGTGTTGAAAAAGAGACTTTGAACGTTCAAAATTGACACTGTAAAAATGTGAGATATGGATACACCTACTTGTTCCCTTTTTGACTTATGTTTAGCACGTGCTCAAGGCAGAGGCGAGGTGGCTCAAGTGGTTAGGGTGCAAATTTATTGACCGGAAGATCGGTGGTTCGAACCCAGCCTCTGCCTCTCGACTACCCTTGTCTAGGCTTAGGCAACCGTGCAGTATCCTAGAACTTGTTCTCCTTTCTGATGGAATGGCAGTTAGGCACTTGAAGGGTAGTCCTGTGTACTTACTGGTTGATGTTTAGGTAGTGTTTACAAGAGACTGTGTGGCACCATCAATGTAAAGATGACAAAATTCTGTTTGCTACGAAATTTTTGCACTGCGGTACAAGGTGGAAGTTCTGTTGGATATCCACCTACAATCACATGCCATCTGGTATCAAATGCTGTCCGCCAAACAACTTTGTGTTAGGCAGTGTAGGTTACCGGCAATTCGGAATGAGCGAAATGTATATCTGGAAAATATATCCCTGCGAAAGAATCTGACATGTTCTTTGAACGGCAATTGTTGTGAACCACGAAACAAGATTATTTCCCCCACCCTTCGTCAGGCCCTAATTTTGTTAATAGATATTTCGCAAAGAAGATATCCGTACAGAGCACTGAAGATCGCAGTACCGATGGAGCAATGTATGGTACAATTTAAATAAACATATGAATAGTCGTTGCCATAAGGCTGATAAATCTAATACAGACTCAACACGGTTAATAACCATAGAGGACCATGGCTGTGATAAGAACAAATGAGGACAAGTAGGAAATACCTTTGAAAGATCTTAGGCATCATGGTTTTCGTTCTAATCTTCTTATGTTCCCTAGCGGAATCTGGCCTGGACACTAGAAAAGTGCTGTGTACTCTAGAACATTAGTTTCCTGCACACTATTTCTCTCAAAGTAGGATAGTCCTCTTCATGAAAAGTTCAGCCTTACCAACTCTTTTCAATAGCCAATGCTAATATTACAAATTGTATTATCACGAAAACCGCAACAGATCCTTATTGTAACTATTTTATAGTTTTTCTTATATAAACCAATCTGTTCTGCAAGATTTCAAGTCATATTCTATATGTGCGCGAAAAATCTTGTGACTTCACTAGCCAGTTACATGTGCAGGATGCGAAAACACATAAAAACTGCATATTCAACAGAAACATAGAATCATTTACTTTGATAACTGCTTAAACAACTTTGTTGCTCACATCATAAAAGGACAATGGAAAGTATTGTGCAAAGTTCCATAAGTGAAAGATAATATCTAAAGAGCAGGTCGCCCTTGGTCATTTTTTCCTGGAAGATTGCCACCTTCGGGGGTAAGATATGCGGACGATATCAGCCGTTTGGTTTTAATATGTCAACTCGGATTTTCGTTATGGAAAGGGATGATTGTTGGCCGACATTTTCACAGAAGTAGGATCTTTGTGCGTGTTCCTCAGGCAACTTGAGCTATTTCACGATGCTGGACCAAGCCTACTGTCGCACTACCGTTTCCCAGAGCAGCTCGTTGTTGACTCGATATATTGGGGTGCAGCATTCCATCAGAACGACGCACCAGTTCGGATACCGTATACACCAGTAAACGCTCCGCTTGGTGTCTGCCAAACACAGGATTTTTAGGCCGAGATCTCAATGGAAACCACTGCAAAGTGCCATATAATCGATAGAAATCCATGCGCCGTAACAACACTTTTGTAAGTATGAGCGATTAGTTACTGAAGTGACCAAATCAAGGAACAGTGATGTAAGTTACTTTTACTGCGTAACAAATTAAATACTCGGCTAAATTAAGCAAAAATCTAAAAGTTAATTAACTATTCTACAGTTATATAATCAAATATGTAAAGAATTATTGTATCATTCTAGGTGCTTAATAAGTCACACGCCACAAACCAATTAAATATTCCAGCGTTTGAGCGTTTTTTGATAAAAGGTGTGGTACTGTAAAAAACTGGTGTGTAGTATTAAAACCAGATCGTGGTGGCTACTGAGAAGTCTCTTAGATGTGTTGTCCAGCCGAAAAAGAGACTGCTAGTTCAATTAAGAATTCTATGATAAAATTCTGGCGCATTTTTGACAAGCACTTTTTAAAATTATTTTTATCATCGTGCTTTCGTTAATAATGTTAGATTCATAACGGTTTGGACAACGTGCACCTTTCCATTGGTTACACGAATTTTTCCTGGTGTGAATTCGGAAACAAGATTCGGAATTATCAATAAGTAAACTTGAAAATTAGAACGTTATTTATTGTGCGAGCGGCACTTCATGGAAAACGAAAGTTAAAAAGTTTGACATCCCATGCAGAGGAGACCCAAAATAGTCTGTTTGAAATTAGCCTTCATGAACATCCAGAGAGAGAGAGTTTGAAGTCATGTTGCTACGCCTGCGAGAACTCGCTAAGTTTGCGCATATGTACGCAAAAACTCGCAAAAAATATTCTCTCATGGTTGGTAGAGCTTCTGTGTTGTTGATGTCAATTACTGGACTGATTTTATACGGAAAGTGGATAACATTTAATCAGCAATTTGATTTTTAATAATCACGTATACAGTGTATGATTCGCAGTAGTATTTTATTCAAATTCGTTTAAGTATACTTATCTTATAGTCCTGAACATAGATGAATAACCACTGGGAGTGAAATGTTCCTTCAGTGTAAGCTCTCACTAAATGAGGGTGCTACTGTGGAAACTCCTCCGCGGTTACAAAGTACGCATAGTGCTCTTTGTTATTCCTCCGAGTTGATTGAATACTGCCTCCAACATCCTAACAACGTCCTAACATCTATTCCTTGATGTTCCGACGTACTGCCGCTAGTTACGCTTCCCATGATGAGTGTGCAAACCAAACAAGTTTTCGTTCTTTATGCTGCATAGTCATACCATCATCGACGTCGACATTGGGTCAGCAAACATAGTGATGATATGAAATGTCGGGATGCGACTTGGAAAACAGTAGGTGAGTAGCATCGTTTTTGACGACGCTATAATCTGTATTTACTTAGTAAAACACTGGGCCGTGGCTTCCGCTCCACTGAGTTGGACGGTTTCCATGTATCAATGAGAGGTAGAAACACCTCGTTTCCCATGACGTAATGGGACTGAAGTGAGGACTATCAACTGTTTCTTTCGAGTTTATCAGAAACCTGCAGCATCCGTAGCGTGGACTGAAACAACCAAACCAACCAGACACAAAGATGAGCATTTCATATGATTACTTGCAAACAATCCGTGCGCTTGCTCATCTCCATGTTGTTTTTAGTTGTTTCACCCATTTGTCAGTATGAGAGATGTGCACCAGGGTTGTAGAACTAAAATTTGTGTTCAA